TCAGAGTCCCGGTCCAGTCAGAGCCCAAGACGACAACCTTCAGAGTCCTGGTCCAGTCAAAGCCCAAGACGACAACCTTCAGAGCCCTGTTCCAGTCAAATACCAGGAAGACAGTCCTCAGAGTCCTGTTCCAGATTTCTCTAATGGCGGGGCTGGAGATTGTGCTTCTCCTAAGCATTTTGAAAAGGTAACCGCTGTTCCTCATCGGAGCAACTTTGCAGCTGGCATCGTTCCATTTGAAGATACACCAGAATTCACTGAGGTTGCTGAAGCCACAGGGACATACCTTAAGATCAGAGACTTGCTTAAAAGTTCCCCTCGAAATTTGGCAAAGAAGAAATAAAGGTTTACCATCCTGCATTGGAAACAGGAGTATACATGGATATTTTTTAAGCAAGAAGTTATATTTTCATTTTCATGACCATCCTATCGAGCATGTTTTTTAGCTGTTTATTATTTTTTACCAAGTTGATTGTCTATGCTGTATATACATTTGATCTGTAAACATACAATGACACAGGGGTATTGAGGGATGCTGCCACAGCAATGGATCGTAGGTTTTGACAAATTAGTCTCATTTGTTTTTGTAGCAGTAGTGTTACTCATTTGGTTTATTTTCTTGTACATTTGTAAAAGGTTGTTTCCTGAGCTGTATTAATTTTAATATGGTGTATACATGGCTTTTTCTATTTTTGTCCCACTTCTAAAATCATCAAGTAAACATTCTTGTATTTGCTTCAGTGTGTTATTTTATCTGGCACCCTATGATTAGATATGGGTTTAATTTAATCTTCTGTATGTTGACAGTACAGATGGTCAAATATGTGAGCAAACAGTGTATATAGTTGTTAGATATCTTTATTAGTTGTTTGTGAGTTGACCCAAGTTGTTGACTTTATTGTACCATTCAGCAAATAGATTCATATCACCACTGAAATAAAGTTAATTCTCCCATTTCAAACTGATTAACCAGCAAAAAGGCATCATAAAATGTCCAAATACAAATGAACACAACTTTAATAAAGCAATATGTTTGACTATAGAGGGTAGCTATGCATGTTGGTGTCAGTCAGTCATGGTTAGGCTTTTAATAAAATGGTTGCCTGGTGGGTAAAACTATTATTCGTATGCATACAGTCTTTAATATAATTAATTTAGGAGCAGGAAAATTGGTATTTCTAATCATTTTATAGATGCAATTGAGATTATTTACAGAATACTGGGTACAGTTTTAATAAATCAAGAGAATTGCCCAGCATAGTTTATATTATTGTAATATACACTCATGTGCATAAAGTACTTGCACTTTACGTTTAAAGGACTTACACATACCCGCACAACTTACCCACAACACATAGATATGTACATGCATACAAAGGCTCATGTCTGTGTGTTGTCAATTTATGAGAAAGCCCAGAGAAGGACAGATTTATTTAATCCCTTGCAAAGTCATGTGAAACTGATGGTGTCTACTCATGCATTAATAATAATAATAAAGATATTACCTTGCAGCCATATGCTTAGGATATTTAACTCCACGTTTACATGCTGTCTTTATAGTAAAAATACCGCATGTAAGTAACATTTTGATTAATGTAGACTTCCTTTTTTCCTCAGATAGTTTAGTTCCCCCACCAAATGTGACTTTATTTGAACAATTCCAACTTTCATCTAATGTCAAACATATAATCACAGTTTTCCTCTCAAAAGTCTGAAACTAATACATCATTGTAGACCGTTTTACAATTGGCTCATTCCTAAACACTGACAAAGCTTTTTTTAATGGGTGTATACTTATTTGCAGCAAGCCATTAAAACCGGTTTTTTGACAGTATTAACACACTACAGACTTTACCAGCAAAGTATTAACCCCGATCTCGCTTTATGTGATTATCTTTGATTTCCTAATCACTCTTCTCTCTCTCTCTCTCTGTGTGTGTGTGGAAGTTGTTTTTCTGAGGAGTGTCCCATCTCACTGAACATATCATCTTTGGTCGGCACTGCCGTTGACGTTCCTCCCGGCCGTTGGACAGGGCCGTAAACTGGAAAAAAACAACAGTCGTCGTGGTGCGTGAACTTTACTTCTCCTTTTCTTTTTCTCTCCCCCCCCTAAAAATAAAAGTAGGGTGAACTAAACGAGCTGTCGGAAGTTGTCCAGGTAAGGAGACGTTACTTGAGGCGTTGGTTCAGCTAGCTAGCTTCTCTCGGGCCTCGCTGCTAACGTTACTTAGCAACTAATCACGTCTGTTCCCGTCGTGATAACAGACTGGGATTCATTTAATCCGCGGGAGGAGACAGGACAGTCATCGCGCTGCTTATTGCAATAACGTTATACGCCAAGCTTATCTGTTCAGGTGGTGTTATCTGTGACAATTTGTCATGCCGACTCTCAACTTGTAGCAGCAGTGTGCCCTACTGGAGCTGCGGTGGCATTGCGGAGACTTTTTTTTCCTTCACTTGTGGACTTTGCTCCGGTTGTTGTGCTTGTGTTGTTGTGGGTTATTCGGGTGTTTGAACATGTGGATGTAACCTGCCGATGTGGCTCCTGTTAAACGGGGTTATCGTCTCACCAGAGTCGTGGAGTTGGCTAGGGGAGGTAAGTTAGCTGACCCGGGTTTTTACAGACTTCCCCTCCGGACCAGATGTGCCACCTCATCGACAGCTTTCAGTCCGCTGGCTGCTCATAAACCTGACGAGGAGAGGTAACTTAGACCACTTACTGGGAGCTACACACACACAGACACACA